GGGTGGGAAAAGTTACTGTTCACATAACCATAACACCTCAAGTCTTTTAGTGTATTTAGTAGTAATTTATACAAGCTATCCACTAGGAATGAATCACCATATTTGCTAAGATCCTTATAGTATACAAATCACCGTACCTAGCTATCTGAATGTATAAATAGCCACCGTGATATTTACAAATATAAACTCTTGACACTGTTCAAATCAGGAGTTAGGTGATTTCCTGTGAAGGTAAGGTGATTAAACTCTTGATATTGCATGGGAGAATTCCATTGCTCAGTGCTGAAATTGCCAATCTCGGCCTGATCTGTTCCGCTGAAATTCTCGTCAGTGCCATCGTTTCTGATAGATACAACGTCCTCCTCTATATCTGCCTTTGTTCTAAGCATCTTGCCGGGTGGAAAACAATTCCCTCGCTGTTGGTTTGTTTCCGCAGGTTTTCTTTTCAGTGGGTTTAACATCTTGTGAAAAGAAGTGCAAGATTTGGCGCTACTGAGGAAGTTTATGCTTGAGGCTCTTTAAGTTGTTGGAAAATTCTGGGGAGAAAAGATACAAGGTAACATTGGGCAATCATCGTAAAAATAATTCGTGACCATCTCAGTGTTGGGGTTGATGTTCATTTGCCGTAGCTCATTCACTTTTGGGAACAAGCCGGTGGGTGCAGATGCACAACTTGGAATATTTTGATCTTGCCATGTGTTTCTGAGGATGCTGTTCTTCTGCCTAACACGACACAGCACCCAATCATCCAACTGCAGCAAGCAGAATTGTTGTTAACAATCCGAAAATCGTTATCAAGTATCACTGGCAGTTGAATTTGAGATGGGTTCGACCCTTCCACTTACCCTCATAGATCCTTTTCCCTTGGGATTGTTCCAAATCATGGCATCTAGCAATCTGTATTCATGCATGTTCCAGTCTGTCTTTAGTCCTTTGGGAGGGCGTCCTTCGTAGAACACGAGAGTCTTCTTGACGCCTATTTTGGCTGTTCCGAAGGAATTAAAAATCGATTTATCTGTCCCTGTTGCCTTCCAATAACCTGAAGCTGCTGCCCTGTGAGGCCGGGCTCCATTGGGGTACTTCCTATCCCTTGGTGTAAAGAAATACCATTCATCCACGCCAAATAAAGCTTTCTCTTACTTCCTATCCCTTGGTGTAAAGAAATATCATTCATCCACGCCAAACAAAGCTTTCTCTATTTTGCAAGAAAAGGTGTCTGTCAGTAGGCAATAGCTATACAAAAGATGCACGTAAGAAAAATGGAACCAATAGAAACGCAATATATACAGACTTGGTAGCTCCCATGGGTTATACTTATAGAGATCTATCTCAGCAATAATAGATGCAGGAAGTGGACTTGAAGTGACTCTGTTCTTCAAATAGTGCACTATGAGCTCCTCATCAGATGGATGGAATCTAAATCCTGGAGGAAGTTGAATGCCTGAGCTGGCTTTGGCCTCCATGTTAAAGAGGCTTTGTTTCTTGGTGATGGAACAACCTAGGGAGAAGGAATCAATATTGAGGCCAGCGATATAAACTATAAAAAATGGTTTGAAGGTTGGGGAGTAACACTGTGCTAAGTTTTTATAGGGCGATGCTCATGCATGCAGGCGTATAGATATCAATTATGTTTATAGAACAATAATTAAGCTTTGATTATTGCTAGGTGCAGATTCAGAGAAAGGAGAGTAGAAAACAACGCTTTTGTCTTATCTTCTGATTTTGAGGTTTTCTTAATTTTGAGGAAAATATTGTTGTATTTTAAATGTCCTTTTTCTTTTTATTTCATATGCAAGGCGAGTCCTTTTCAGGAGGAGCAGCATCAATGGAAATTAAGCATCACAGTGGATTTGATTCGATAATAACTACTGAAAAAAATGATAAAATATCCGCTATGGATGCTGTTCTTGGTTCTATTGGATCCTTCCATGGGTTTTCCCATCCCCTCTCTGTGAAAAGCTCCAAGATTTGTACAGAATATACAAGTGTGAGGAACATAACAAGGCCAACCTGATAGCCACGGGAATCGGCTGCTTCTTGTTTTCTTCTCGGGGGATCTATTCATAACCAGTTTGTCCGAAATTCCTGATTCATCGTGGATGTCAATTCCTAACACCGAATTCTTGGAAGTTCACTCTTTAGACCTCAACGCTTAGGATAGCATTATCTTCGAACAGACCACCCCACCTGCCACCCATTGACAAACAAGAGGAGGAGGGATCCTGGATTCTTTGTCAAAAGAAGATAGACAATAAAACCTTATGTGAGTATGACCTTTATCTTTCTTTTCTTGTTTTGAGCTGCATTCTCTCTATCTTTCCTTTCATGTTTTTTATCCCTACATTTCTTCTGAAACTACGTTGTTTTGTTAAGAAAGATCTTAACAAATTGGTATTGGAGCCTAAAATCCTTGACCAATAATAGAATATTGCATATTAAACAATTCTAGAGGTAAACCATGATGAAAAATAACAAGATTAAGGCATTGGAAGAGCAGACAGAAGGCTTGATGAGCAAATGCAAAGCATGCATCAAGAACTCCTAGATTCCATAGCTGAAAATCATAAGTAATGATCACCGGAACCAACCAAAAAGGCTGAGCACAGTATCAATATGCAAATGGACGTTATGATGGCCACTTTAGATTGATGCATGCTTTGAATCCATTATCGTAATTGAATTTTGATATTATTTCATTAATAGTTTTAAAAACAATTTAAAAATAGCCAAAAAAAATATATTTTTAATTAGTTGCGTTACTTTCAATATTTTTATTATCTTTTTAAAAGAATTAAAAATTAAAATAATATATATACACACACATACTCACACACAAGAAGACCAAAAATACAAAAAAGAAAAAAAAAAAAAAGAAAAAAGGAAAAGAAGAAGAAATAAGGGATTGAAAACCAGAGTGATTTTTAGTTGCCTAGTTTCTTAAGAGGAAAATGACTTTTTTTATATATATAAAAAAAAAGGAATGGGTGGGGCAGGATCTTTTCTAATTAAATTTAGTAGTATAAATGAAACAAAAAATTATATCTAGTTCAATCCAGACTATTCTTAAAAAAAAAAAAATCAACATAAATTTTTTTCTAAAAAAATTAATACATCAATGACTACGTTTATATTTATTGAATTTATTGCTAAAATATTAATCTTAAACTCGAAACTCCTAGCAAATGATCAATAACCCAAGAAAAAGAAAGAATCGGTTATATTTTTCATATGATCTCTTATATATATATATATATATATATATA